GTAAATTGTCCCAGCCCTCTCTCTTAAACATTTTTTTATTAGACTATTTTTTAGAGCAGTTTTAGGTTCACAACAAGATGAAGCAGAAGTATAGAGATTTCCCATACACGCCCTGTCCTCACACACGCAAATCTCCCCCACCAACATCCCCGCCAGAGTGGTGCATTTGTCACAAATGATGAACCTGCACTGATGCATCATTGTGCCCCGAAGTCCATAGTTTATATTAGGGTCACTCTTAGTGTTGCACACTTTGGGGTTTGGGCAAATGTGTGACGATGTGTATAATACAGAGTAGTTTCATGGCCCTAAAAACCCTCCGTACTCTGCCTCTTCAGCCTTCCCCCTCTCTTTGTTAACAAATATTTTAGTAGATTCCAGACCTCACGTGCACAGGCTGGATTTATCGAAATCTGTGCTTCGCCACACACTCTCTGCATTGGCCCCTGATGGATGCTCTTTTCCTTTAAGATTATAGTAGAAATATAGGGAACACTCTGCACCACCAGCCAGTCCAAGAACTGGAACAGCCAGTACCTCAGCCTCTTCCGCCTCCATCTGAGGTAAACATGATTCTGCACTTGGTGTTCATTTTGTTTTTAGTTCTGGGACTTGATTTTTCCTATTCAACATTACATTCCTGAGCTTTGTTTATATTCTGCGAGCAGCTGTAGATAGTGAATGGCTCCATGGTAGAATCTTTCATTGTGTGATTACATCATACATTATCCGTTCTCTTCTCCCGTTGTCGGGCCTTTGGGCTGCTCCCACGTTCGCTCTGACAAACAGGCCTCCTGTCCGCACACCCAGGGGACCCTCCTGGGAGGAGAGCTGAGAATGGAATCTGGATCACGGGGACACAGAATTTTAACTTGGCAAGAGTTCTGGTGATGCACGTCTTCTCTGACATTTGCAATTATCAACACATTTTTTTTGGTCAGTCAAATGTGTGCAAAATTCCATCTCACCGTGAAACGTGTCCCTTAATGACGGTGAGCACAGAGGGCCTCTCTCCGCGTCTGTTGGCCCCTCTACTCTCCTGGAAGCACCTGCTCCTGTCTTTTGCCCATTTTGCTGTTGGGTTGTTTGGTTTTGCTTCCTGAACCCTAGGAATTCTTTGTAAATTCTGACACTTGTCTTTGGTTGGTTTTGAGTGCAGTGAGAATTATCTCCCAGTTTGCAGCTTGTCCTTTCACCTTCATTAAGTTATATTTTATCGTGTAAAAGTCCTTAATTGTAATGTAGTCAAATGTATCAATCTTTTCTTTTATATGGTCAAGGTTTGTGAGTGTGTTGTTTAGGAAATTCTTTCCTATCCCGAGGTCACATAGATATTCACGTGTATCTTCTTCTAAAGTTTTAAACTTTTGCTTTTGACATTTTGTTTCTGAATCCATTTGGAGATGCTTTTTGAGTGTAATAAAGGATCTAATTTTTTGTCCTGGGGTTTTCCTGCCTCCTTTATTGCATGTCTTTCTCCAAGGACCCATCATGCCACTTCTCTTATTTATCAAAGCCCATCTATGGGTGTGTATCCTTCTGGGCTCTGTATCCTGTTCAATTGTCCAGGGTGTCACTTCCTGGGCTAACACCACACTTCATCCCACCCCCTCCCTTTTTTTTTTTTTGGGCGCTGAGCAGCATGCGGGATCTTAGTTCTCCGCCCAGGGATGGAAGCCATGCCCCTTGCAGCGCTAGTACCTAACCACGAGTCCTAACCACTGGACTGCCAGGGAAGTCACCACACTTCACCCTTGATTGTAGGCTATTTTACAGATAGCCTTTCAACTGGTGGGTAAGCCCCACTGCCTTCTTTTTCTTCTTTAGGAGGGTTTGGATGGTTCTTTTTAAAAAGTTGAGCTGTAGCCTACACAGAGCTAAGTGCACAGACCCCAAGTACACATTTCACTTACTCTTTATGCGTGCACTCGCTCCCGTCACCAGCGCTGCCTCACCAGCCGCCAGAAGCAGTGGACGAAGCCCCTTCGTGGTGTGAGGGCTCTGCGGGTCAGGAGCCGGCCGGAACCTCTCCACGCGTCCCCTCCTCGGGATGGTTTGGGCTTCGTCACGGCATCTGGAGGCTGGGTTCGCCGCTGGAGCGTCCAGGCGGAAGTGCGCACGGTCTTTCCGTGGTCCTATCTCTATGGATCGAGGGATCACAAAGGTCTGCTCACGTTCAAAGGGAGGGACTATCCACCTCGCACCTCAACAGGAGCCTCAAGTCCACGTTGTGAAAACCTTGTGGGAAGGGAGAAATTGACGCAGCCGTCTTTGTACAATACAACCGGCCACATCTGTGGAGCCACCCCCCAGGTCAAGGTGTGAAATAGTTCCAGTGACCTGGTGGTTCCTCGGGCCCCTTCCAGTCCATGCCAAGCCCTGAAGGTAATTACTGCCCTGATCTCTATGACACAGACTAGTTCTGCCTCATCACCAATATTACCCGAGTACGTAAATGGAAGCCTGTGGCGTGTGCTTTGGGGTCTGGCCTCTTGTGCTCCACGTCGTATCCTAAGAGACTGACCCGTATTGAGCGGTCAGTAGCTTGCCATTTTGCACCGCTGTGCAGTACTCTGGTTGTATGACATGCAGTCTGTCCATCTCACTACGGGCAGATAATGGTAGGTTTCCATTTAGATCATTATGAATATTCTCGTACAACTTTTTGGTGTGCATAGCCTCTCGTTTCTGTTGGGTATATACCAGGAGGGACACCCTGGGTCATAGGATGTTTGCATGTTTAGCTTCAGTAGACACCGGCAAACAATTTTCCAAAGTGATTGTAGATTTAACTCATCAGCAGGAGCGCCATCTCGCCACAGCCTGTAATTTTTAGCCATTCGCGGGGGAGGGAGGGGTGCCTGGTGCCATCTCACTCTGGTCCGTCCCTAGTGACTGATGGTCCTGAGCCGCTTTTCCTGTTGATTGGCCATTTAGGTAACTTTTCTAAAAGTGCTTTTTCAAGTCCTTCACTCATATATTTAAAACTGGGTTGTCAGACCTAAGTGTCCATCAACAGATGAATGGATAAAGAAGATGTGGTCTATATCTAGAATGGAATACTACTCAGCCAGAAAAAAGAATAAAATTTTGACATTTGCAACAACATGGAGGGACTTGGAGTATATTATTATGCTAAGTGAAATAAGTCAGACAGAGAAAGACAAATACTGTGTTATCACTTATATGTGGAATAAGATATCACTTATATCTAAAAAATACAACAAACTAGTGAATATAGCAAAACAGAAACAGACTCACAGCTACAGAAAACAAACTAGTGGTTACCAGTGGGGTGAGGGAAGGGGGAGGGGCAAGATAGGGGTGGGGATTAAAAGGTACAAACTGTTAGGTATAAAATAAGCTACAATATAGCCAATATTTTATAACTATAACTATTTTATAATAACTATTTCTTAGACTAAATACTTATGATAATAAATTCAGTTAGTCTGTTCTACTTCTTTTCTAATTTGAAGTCCAACTTATTCTTAACAGACTTGTTCAACATCTAATAGACTGATGAACTAAGCTATAATCTCATCTAAACCAATATTAGACATTTTCACTCAAATTGTTAAGTTTCACTACTCTTGGTTCTTGAGGTTATAATTGTTAAAATGATATCATAATTGATTTTGGGAGAAGAAAAGAAATAAATAAAAATAAAGGACAGGAATGTGATAATAAGGTATATTTATACCCTAATTTATTTTTTAGACTTTATTTCATTACACAATTGCTTACAGACAGCCACACAATCTAAGAAGAAAATTTTAAAGTGCTTTCTATAAATAATCTTTCACAATCTGTTCTATTTATTTTCTTGCCTCAAAACAATATTTATTGCTAGCAGAGATTTTTAAACCACTGTTTTTGCTAGAGTGGCTAAAGGTTTAAGCATTGAAGCAGTTGCCACCTGACACTGGGTGTGCTGAAAAGAATTGGGCAGCCTGGTCTGCGCTCCCCTCCTTCGCTCTTTATCTCCACCTTCTCCTCTCATCCGGGTTTCCCAAAGGAACCTCCAACTCCCTGAGAAAAAGCATCCAGCTCTGCTAACATCGGCCTAATCCTTCTAGGGCAAATGTGCTTATGTTCCAAATTTCAAACTTTTAAGGAAAGATACTTCTACTTTTAAATACTAACAAGTATTAGCAAGTAATTTTACTCTCAAAGAAGCATACCCTGTAGTGTGTCAGCCTCACTTTAAAGGACTATTTAGGGACTTCCCTGGTGGCGCACTGGTTGAGAATCTGCCCGCCAATGCAGGGGACACGGGTTCGAGCCCTGGTCCGGGAAGATCCCACATGCCATGGAGCAGCTAAGCCAGTGCGCCACAACTACTGAGCCTGTGCTCTGGAGCCCGCGAGCCACAACTACTGAGCCCACGCGCCTAGAGCCCGTGCTCCACAACAAGAGAAACCACTGCAATGAGAAGCCTGCGCAGCGCAACGAAGAGTAGCCCCCGCTAGCCGCAAATAGAGAAAGCCCACGCGCAGCAACAAAGACCCAACGCAGCCAAGAATAAATTAATTAATTAAAAAAGAAGAATATAATCTCAAAAATAAAATAAAATAAAAGACTGTTTAAATTCAGCTTGTATTCCCAGCATTCAAAGATAGACTGCCTCATGTAACCATTCAAAGATAGACTGCCTCATGTAACCATAGAAATATGTTGATTCTGGGGCTTTTCCTCAGACCTATAGTCTGTGAAGGGAGGGCAAGTCCTCTGCATGTTTAAGGTGCCCCATGGGTGCTGATCCAGCCACCTATGGAGAATCCTTTTTTTTTTTTTTTTAATTTTTTGGCCACGCCTTGTGGCATGTGGGATCTTAGTTCCCCAACCAGGGATCAAACCCACGCCCCCTGCATTGGAAACGCGGAGTCTTAACCACTGGGCCGCCGGGCAAGTCCTGGAGATTCTTTTTTTAATGCTGATGGTGGATCCGCTCACGGAGTTGCCGATCAAGGTGCGGCAAGACGCGTTTCTATAAAGAATCCCACAGGTTACGTGAATGAACACAGAGGGCTGAGAACTTCTGCCCAACATTGTGAAGCAACTATACTCCAATAAAAATTAATTAAAAGAAAAAAGAATTGATCAGAGAAAGGACAAAAATAGAAAGATCTGTTCCGGTTTGCCAATGAATAACAATTGTGTGGAGGAGAGGCAAGCGTAGTAACCAGGTTTAGAGTAATTATTAGTGAAGGATAGAGGAAATCTGGTGAACAGAAGATCCTAAAAAAGGTTCACAGTGGTGTTTCAGTGACCTTAATTCTTAACCCTGGCTGCTCTTTAGAACCTTCCAGAAATAAGCTTTTGAAAATTACCAAAGCCTGGGCCCTACTCCAGACCAAGTCAATCAGAATCTATGGGCTGGCGTGCTGATTTTCCCAGGTCCTGGGGCGACTTCAGCACGCCGCCAGCTTCAGCATCATTGCTGTACGACGCGCAAGAAGCCGTTTGAGTCACCTGCTCTCGCTGACATCACAAGAGGGGCACGTTTGCCTCCAGACCCTTGGAGGCCAGTCTTTAGAGGAAATGAATGCTTGGCACTGTCCTCTTGTTCCACATCTTAAACCTTTCACTCTTTTATTTATAAAAGCAGTGGCCACCTGCTTTCTTGCCATAATTTGTAGCAGTATATCGCTTAGAGCAAAAGCCAGAAAGTTATATAACTTCTAAGTTTGCTAGTTGAAATTTGGGGGGATGGAAGGTGGTATTTGTGGAATTGTGTGACCTGTTGCTTGGCAACTTTAAGAGAGTTCAGCTTCTGCATTCTGTGAACTGTCGGAAGTCACGGAGTTTGGTGAGGCGGGTCAATTAGTTCTTGCTACAAAAAGGAAATTAATTCTTCCTTACGCAGAGGGCTTGAAAAGTCGTCCTTCAGAGCAGGCCATGTCACACTTCTTCTGCTTGACTCCACAAATTCTTCTGCCCTTTAGCCCTCTTACTTCTCAAGAGTTTGATCTGATCCGACTGAAGGCTGGAGCATCTTGGCAGAATGAAACAAGGTGGTCGGATTCGTCTGTAACAACATATGCGGGCAGTTACCGGAAAAAGCAGCTGGATGATTCCATGTGCAGCCGACTTCAAGCAGGGCGGCACTGGCCTGAGTGTAACCAGTACGGTTGCTTTGTGATTCACCCCTGGCGATGTCACTCTAACTAGATGAGAATGCTGTTAGAAGGAGGAGGGTATTGTCAACCCTGAGACACTTTGTAGACTTCCGCGCTGTATATTTTCCTGGGTAAATGTCAGGGGGAGGAAGACCTAAATGTCAGTTACCAGCTGAAATTATGTTTGTATTGTCTATTTAGTACTCCTAGAATTATGTGCAACTACCTTTACTCTTTTTTTTTTTTTTTGCGGTTCGCGGGCCTCTCACTGTTGTGGCCTCGCGGAGCACAGGCTCCGGACGCGCAGGCTCAGCAGCCATGGCTCACGGGCTCAGCCGCTCCGCGGCATGTGGTATCTTCCCGGACCGGGGCACGAACCCTTGTCCGCTGCATAGGCAGGCGGACTCTCAACCACTGCGCCACCAGGGAAACCCGTACCTTTACTCTTGAAAAGTTAAAATATGAGTATTCGGTTAAGATGTAGATATTCTGTCTTCTCTGCTCAGCAAAGAGGTGCTCCTGAGAACTTCACTTTGTTTCTTGTCTAGTTTTTCCACTTTGGGGAATTGAAAAATTCCCTCGAATCAGGAGGAACGTCGACTAGACCCTCCTCTGCCCTTCACCATGAATTGTCTCTGGATGAATTCAAGTGCTGGGGGCCCGAAAGACATATTCTGAGTGTTTTCTATAAACCAAGCCCTATGACAGGCCTACAGAAAACATTAATTTCAGTTTCATAGGGTAACTGAAACCACAGAAATAAGTAACCAGCACAGGGGAAGGAGATTTTATCAGTGTCTGTGGCGGGGGGAGGGGTATTGTGTTTCTGGAAAGAGCTCTGTAAAGCAGCTTTCTTCTGAGCTGGTTTAGCAGGTGGGGAGAGAAGGGAGGGCTGCCTGGAGGAGAGAGTGCACAAAGGCAGCGAGCACTTAATCCCAGGTGTTACCTGAGAGCTGCGAGCAACTCAGTGAGTTTGAGACAGAAAGCATTAAGTGAGGATGTGGAAAAGCTGAGGGTTCGAAATGCAGTATTTCGAATTTCCCTACAGTATTTCCCTCTGTAGGTTGTCAAATGTCTTGTCCAAATTCTGGAAATCTATTTGAAAATCAGTTGGATCATTGGCTCCAACTTGAGACGTGAGGAATAATTCAAATAATACCCTAACAAATACTAGTTATTTTGCCTTCCAGGGCTTTCCAAATTATCAAAACAATGCTTAAAGCCAAAATGTCTCAGAAGTACTTTGCAGTTGGATGCCTCGTCTGGTGTATTCCAGTGAACTACACAGTCACTGCAGTTTGAATAGCTCTCGAGTATGCTGACACCTCAATTAACTTTGGAAGTCCCTTTGCTAATTCTGTGAATTTTGAGGCACCTCTAGGCCAGCAGGGCAATCTTCAAGGCAATGCTTGCTTCCCTATCTCAACCTTGGACTCCCTGAGGTATACAAACCCAGAAAATATGAAAACTGTGAGAGCTCTGACTGGGCCTTTCAGAAGAGTCCCAAATTCTTTGAAAAGCAATGATTTTCCCTTCTGCATTGGTACTTATAGAGACAAATCCCTGAATGAAAAAGCAGCAGCATGTTGGATCATGCTTCTGAAATGAAGAGGCGCTGTGCCAGGGCTCACTAAAAGGCCACGGGACAAATAGGGAGCATTAGTTTGTTACAGCAGCAATAGGAAAGTACAGGCGGGTGTCGGAGATATTGCAATTTGGTCTAATAAAGTGAGTAACCCAATAAAGCAAGTCACACAAATTTTTTGGTTTCCCAGTACATATAAAAGTTATGTATACACTATATTGTTAAGTGGGCAATAGCATTATGTCTAAAAAAAATGTTCATGCCTTAATTTAAAAATACTTGGTTGCTAAAAAAAAAGCTAACCATCATCTGAGAACACAGCGTTGCCACAAAATCTTCAATTTGTAAAACACACGGTATCTGCAAAGCACAATAAAGCCAAGTCCAATAAAACAAGGTATGCCTATAACACAGGTAGAGTGGAGAGCAGAAACATTTTCATAATAAAGGAAAGTAAAAATTTTTATAATAAAGGAAGGAGCATGATACAAAATTTTCATGAATCTTTAAAAGCAGGAAATATAAAAGAAAATTAGTACTTATCAGACCAAATTTTCACTTACCAGTGAAAACACTCAGAACAGTGGAGAAAGGTCGTGTTTGAAATCCCAGGTAGATTAATTAATTTGAGCCAGATGCAATTTTTAAAATGAAAATTTAAAAAAAATGCCACTTTGCTAAAATATGTCAAGTTTTTAAGAATAAAGGTAATCAAAGATGTGTAAGATCTCCACACAGAAAACTATAAGACATTAGTGAGAGAAAATAAAGACCTAAGTCAATGGAGAGATAAACCATGTTCATGGATTAGAAGACTAAATATTATAAAAATATTATTTCTCCCCAAATTGATTTATGCAATTCCAACAGGTGTTTTTGTGGAACTTGACAAGATGATTCAAGGCCAGGGAATAGCCAGGACATTCTCAAAAAAGAACAAAGTAAGAGGGTTGGTTCTACAGATAACAAAATTTACTATGAAGCCTCAGTAATTAAGGCAGGATGGTATTGTGGCACAAAGATAACAAATAGACCAATGGAAGGGAATAAAGAGCCCAGAAACAGAACCATGCATAAATGGGCACTTATTTATGAGGAAGGTAGCAGAACAGTGGAGAAAGGTCGTGTTTGCAATCCCAGGTAGATTAATTCCAGATGAATTAGAGGCCTAAGTGTGAAAGGCAAAACAGCAAATCCATTAGATGACGATATAGAGAATATCTTGTTGATCTTGAGGTTGGCAAAGATTTCTTAAACAGACACAAAAAGCACTAACCACAAAGAAAAAGTGAAGTAAATGGGACTGTCTTAAAATTAAGTAGTTCTCTTTAACAAAACACACCCTTACAAGTATGAAAAGGCGAGCTACGGAGAGGAAGACAAGATTTTCAATTCAGTGACTGACCAAGGGCTCATAACTATGATACATATAAAAAAACTCCTACACGGCTTCCCTTGTGGCACAGCGGTTGAGAGTCCACCTGCCGATGCAGGGGACACGGGTTCGTGCCCCGGTCCGGGAAGATCCCACATGCTGCGGAGCGGCTGGGCCCGTGAGCCATGGCCGCTGAGCCTGTGCGTCCGGAGCCTGTGCTCCGCAACGGGAGAGGCCACAACAGTGAGAGGTCTGCGTACCACAAAAAAACACCCCAAAACAAAAAAAAAAAAACAAAAAAAACCTCCTACAAATTAGTAGGAAAAAGACAACCCACTAGAAAAATGGAACAGAGACTTTGAAATGAAGTTCATAAACCAAGATATCCAAGTGACCAATAAACTTATCAAAAGGTCCTTAACCACATTAGTAATCAGGAAATGTAAATTAAAACCACAATGAGCTTACTCATGTCATCTTCCAGAAAGGTTAAAATTAAAAACACCATTAATACTAAGTGCTGGTGAGAGTGTAGAACAATGAGGGCTCTCAATGAGGTCTCTCTCTGGTGGGAATGTGCATTGAATTGTTTTCTTTAGAAAAACAGTTTGGTCTTGTTTTCTAAAGTTGATGCTATAAATTTCCTAGGACTTAGCAGTTCTAAGTATATACCCAGCTGAAATGCACTGTCACACGTGCACCAAGAGACATGTACAAGTATGTTCATAGCAGCATTTTTCATAAAAGCCAAAAAACTGAAAACAAGCCAAACGTACAATATGTACTATTCATCTACAGCAGAATGCATAGACAGTGCTGTGATCATACAATGCCAGCGCAAAGGAACAAACTATGGTTACACCTTGTAATGACACAAACATTATATTGAGCGTTTTGAGCCAGATGCAATACATATTGTATTATTCCATTTACGTAAAATTAAAAAAAAAACAAAACAGTCTAAGCCAAACTATAGTGTTGGGTATATCTGCCTGGGTAATAAGAAATATAAGGAGAAGCAAAGAAATGATTCCCATAGAAGTCAGGAAACTGGCCCACTGATTACCTGCCTCAGACCTTCTGCCCCAAACCTACTGGAAAAATAATTACTGGGGTTGGGCTTAGAAATGTACATTTAAAAAGTAATACCCTCTAGTGATTCAATTGCTGCTGTAGGTTAGGAGAAGAAAGATACAGGGTGGGCCACCAGCTGTCATCTCAGGAGTTATTAGGGCTAGTCTGTGGGCTGAATACATGTCCAGGAGCATTTTAGAACTCTTTAGGCTGAGATAATTCCCCTCTATCCTTACCTCACACACACATTCCAGGTCCCCTGAGCTCGGAGACCCTCCTTCCCCCAATCAGAGGCCCTAAAACGATGGCCACCATGTGTCGCCCTCTAGAAATTGATGACTGTGCTTCCCGCCAAGCCAACTGCTTGCCTAAAACGAGTGTCATATCTGGATTCAGGGAAACTGAACTACAGATATGTTTTGAAAGATAGACACAGCATCTGTGAATCCCCAAGTTACCCCATTGCTACTAAGTTTTCCTGGGAAACCAACATAATTACCGTAATATTTCCTATTCCATTCATAGCACTTATTTTGAAAACAACTCTCTAGCGAAAGTCTCAGAAATCCTGTGAAAACAATTTTGAACTTAATGTTTGAGATTTTCATGTACAAAAGTTGAACACTTTACCCTTTTATGACAAATCAGGGACCAAACAAATCACTAAAGACAATGAGAAAGTCCAACTTGGGTTGATTTAATGAGATTTTACGGTTGGGAGTGTGGAAAGAGAGGAAGAGAAGAAGCGTCGAAGTTTAAGAAATCAAATGAAAGGGTGAGTGAAAAGCCCTGTTAAGTCCATAGTCTGTGACTTATAAACCCATAAGCTTATAATTTGTACTTGCTCTCTTTAGGATGTCATTGCCAAACTGCTT